CAATGTACAACACGTCTCACAATGTACAACACATCTAACAAGCTGGTCATACACTGTCATATTATTTTCATTCACGGCTAAATGACACATTGTAATAGATTCCTCCATCCATGCTAATAAGCGTGTACGGCCAGCTTAAGGAATCAGAGCCAACACTTGTAAAGGGCAAATGTATAAACACAGCCATATACCCTCCTGGACTGGAAACATACATTTCCCTTCCGTCCTCTATGTAAACCTGAAGTCTTGTATGTCCCCTGCAGGTAACCATCTCCTCCATTATTCCTTCACGGGGGTCTCCGATCCAGTTCCTGGACTGCCTATGTTTTCTATTGTCCAGTTCTTGGATGACCAAACGACAACAAAATACAACAGTGACACTGGTGAAACCCGGCCTGGGGTCCCCTGGATGGACAAAGGAGATCTGGAACAGTGGGGACATCCATTGTATGAACACACAGGATGGTGGAAGATGGCGTTCAAACACAATGTCAAGACGGCCATGAGTCGATTTAACCAGACTGGGGGTTAGATCAATCCATCCATCTATCTATCTATCTATCTATCTATCTATCTATCTATCTATTATTATTATTATTATTATCATCTTCTTCTATCTATCTATCTATCTATTATTATTATTATTATTATCATCTTCTATCTATCTATCTATCTATCTATCTATCTATCTATCTATCTATCTATCTATTATTATTATTATTATCATCTTCTATCTATCTATCTATTATTATTATTATCATCTTCTATCTATCTATCTATCTATCTATCTATCTATCTATCTATCTATCTATCTATCTATTATTATTATCATCTTCTATCTATCTATCTATCTATCTATCTATCTATCTATCTATCTATCTATCTATCTATTATTATTATCATCTTCTATCTATCTATCTATCTATCTATCTATTATTATTATCTTCTATCTATCTATCTATCCATCCGATCTCAGGTGGGCTGTATGGGATATCAAGTGAGCTCTGCAAGTGGCGTAACTAGAAATCACAGGTCCCCATACAACATTTTGCTATGGGGCCCTGTGATTTCTAGTTACGCCCCTGCATCCATCCATCATCTCTTTCTCTCTCTCTATATATATATACTGTAAATATACACAATCTATTTTTCATGACAGGAGAACTTTCTTCTGCTCTTCCGTCCAGGTTTCCATGTGACTCAGCTGATGTACGGATGCGAGCTGAGGTCAGATAACAGTACCAGGCTGTATTATCGGTATGGCTATGATGGCAGAGATTTCATCACACTGGAGACTGACAGATGGGTGTTTGAACCCGGGGTGTACGAAGCTCAGATCAGCACGCAGAGATGGAACAGCGAGGAAGACGGCGCAGGTCAGAGATGGAAACATATCCTGGGAGTGAGGTGTGTGGAGTTCCTGAAGAAATATTTTGATTACGGAAGAAAAGAGCTGGAGCGGAAAGGTGAGACAATAAGACTCAGAGCCCAACTCCGGGGTTTAATAGTGTATGTAAACCCTAAAAATGATGTCAGGGCCAAGTGCAAACCATGTATTCTGCCTCAACAAGGGGCTTTCCTTTCTTGGCCAGCTAAACGTGGAGTCAAGATGAGCTGATGAATTCTACGCAGATACTCCAGATGGCAATGAATGCCGGGTATTGGTCTGCTAATCTGGCAGAAAGTTCCTGAATTCTCATAACTGAATTCACTTTTGCAACCTAATCCTCAATGGAGGGGGGCGGAAGAGATATCCCAAAATCTGGGACTGAAGGCACATCCTTAATTGTGTCTTTATTCAGCCTTACCTACTATGTTACTATGTTTCATTGCTCTTTGCCTTTTCAAACATTGGTCTTTCCTGTTTAGTTGCTCCAGAGGGGAAGATCTTGACTCGGAAATCAAATGGTGTGACAGCCCTCCACTGTTATGCCTACGGCTTCTACCCGCGGGAGGTGGAAGTGAAATGGGTGAAGAATGGGCAAGATACGGTCTACTACGATGAGGCCACGCCTATCCTGCCCAATCCAGATGGCACGTACCAGGTCATAATCACCTTGAAAGTGTCACCAGAAGATGAAAGTTCCTACTCGTGTCACGTCGATCACAGTGGCCTTGTGGAGGAACTCATTGTACCATGGGGTGAGCATGAACCATACGAATAATGCCTCGTCTTTAGCAACTGTAGGACTTTGCTATGTATTCTTTGGCACAAATCACAACTCCAAACGTTAATTCAGAAAACAGCAAAACATTTCAACACTCCAAAAACTAAAACAGTACATACCGAGTGCCTCTCTGGTTTAGTTTTATAATGTTGCTAGAGGCTCGTCACCTTGAGGAGGCTTGGCCCATTTTTTCATGCCATGTCCAATTGGATTTCCCTTAAAGTGACATTAAACCCTCAGATTTTTTAACATAAACCAATACTGTAATGTGCGCCTTACTGTAATCCATGGTAGTTTCCCTTCTCTTTGCTGCTCTTCCTTTTAAATCCTCATGTCTTCTCATGCTTGGGGAGAACTTCCCCTTTCAGCTGTGTGCCTCTTCCTGTAGTGCTGGCTCAGGTTACATGCCTATAGAAACGTATACACAGACACCGTGTATCCATTCCTGAGACAAGGCAGTCTGCAGCAAAACAGAAGTTCTGCAGAGCATGAGAACAGATAAGGATTTAAAAGGAAGAGCAGCAAAGAGAAGGGAAACTACCATGGATTACAGTAAGGCGCACATTACAGTATTGGTTTATGTTAAAAAATCTGAGGGTTTAATGTCACTTTAATGGTCACTGAAGTGCTTTTATTTGACAGGGCAATGGTGGTTGGGCAGGGGCTCATCTTAGAAGTTAAGCCACTAGTAACAAATAGAAACAAAACCGGAGAGGTGCACAACTGAAACACTTCACAATATGAGGAAAGTCCTTATTCATGTGACCGTCTGGTGGGCTCGTGCCTTGACTTCTGATCAGTAGGACACAGAGAGCTATGTTCTCAGGTAGGTTCCCCCAGGCTCAGGCTCTTTGACTCCTGAGTACAGTTGACTCCAGTATTTCATCCAGCAGATCTTCCCTCTGCGAAATACCAAGACAATAGGTTTTGACTCCCCACCCCTTTTGTTTTCTTATCTCCCCTCTACTCATCCCTGCTTCTCTATTCTCTATATGTCTCTTCTTGCACTTCTATCCAAAGCAAATAATCCTTCACAAGCTTTATGTGACAAGGCTGCTTAAAGCAGATCTAACAAATGTCATGTTAAAGGAGAACTATGAGGGGAGTGATTTCCACTCACCTCATAGTTCTAGTTGACCTGTGACAATGAGACTGTCACAGGTCGGCTCAGTAGATCGGGAGGTGAGCGAACACATACCAGTGCTCGCTCACCTCTCGATCCTGTCACGGCTCTCTGCCGTGACGGGGGAGGGGCTGGATTCCCCTCTCCCCGCTCCGATCTGCCAGCGCTGACTGGCGGAACGGACGGGGGAGGGGGCGGGTACAGCTGCCTCTGCCTCTAGATAGGCAGAGCCAACTGTCACTCACGCAGCTGAGCGGATCTCGACGTCGATGCCGGGATCCGCTCCGGCTGCGGCGTCTCAGTATATAATGAGCTGTAGCTCCCTATATACTGAGCTTAGGGTAACGGGAGTTCGCTAGTTTGTGTCCTCCCGTTACCCTAAGGAGAACTATGGGGAAAAACACTGACCCCATAGTTCTCCTTTAAGTGCAGAGCATAAAGCAATATGTCAGTGAAATGGATCTGAACCACAACTGGGTTCACACAAGATGTCTGCTGCTGTTCCTAATTATGTCGTTTTCGGTGCACCTGAGAAATCACAAACACAGGATTAAGGTTTATGACGCATCTACTTTATTCAGGGCGGTCTCTCTCCTTTATACACAGATAACAGGAGAGTGCTCGTCACACATATGCCCACCTCTGTTACCTCTAAATGTCTTGTACTATTGGGCAAACTAGAGGGGCTGTTAGTTAAAGTCTTGTGTCTCTCGCTAATTGGTTAGTCAAAGATATCTTCTGCCTGTAGCGTCCTCCCTCGGCATTCCTTTCATGTGTCCTCGGCGCGCTCCCGAATACAGGATCCATCTTGGTTACGCATAGCAACGCTAAAAGCTGAGTAAGGAAAGTCACAAAGCTAGGAAGCAAATGAAACTAATTCAAAACAATTGAAAACATAGAAAAGGACATTTTCTTGATATGATCCATATTCCTTCACATCAGTGTAATACTTCCAGGTATTAATTACCCCTCACAGAGATCACAGCAATGGATTGAGGAAATGCTTCCTCTTGCCTGCAGCAGACTGATCATTGGGGGAAGGGAGACGGAGGAAATTATTCCTCCTGCCTGCAGCAGACTGATGACATCATCCCAGCCTAGGGAAAATCACTGATTGGAGCTCAAGGATGGCTTTTTGATGATAAAAGGAGTTTGTTTGTTTTTTTAATAAACGATACTGATGTTGTATATTGTGCCATGTTAGGAATGTATTCTTGTAGACGTGTAAAGTTGATGAAAGGTCCATTTGAAGTAGTAATTTTATACTGTGTGTAACCTTGACAACCTGGCAGTGGACAAACATCCCATCCTTATGGTCTGTTCCATAACAAAATTCTATTGCTGACCGGCCAGACCAGCAGAGTCCCGGTGATGTGGGAAACCTTCACATACGTGTTTCTCTCAGTATACATTCTACTGCGATGGACTTCACCTCTTTGTACCATATTTATCAGCTGCACTTGTGGTGTCGCCATGTTGTATTCTCTGCTGAGAAGGATGAATAAAGAATACAAAAAACAAAAACAGTTCATCAAGGAGTGTGAGGGGCCTCATAATGAGATATGGCGGCCACAGCTGGGGACTCCGGTGATGAGATCTTATTGCCGAGTGAAGGTCCTGGGAGGGTTTAGGATGGGTCAGCCAACATGCGGGGATACATCTGGTACGTCAGTGGTTTCTGGACTGAACCTTTATTACATACAAGTCTTTTGTAACAATGATGTTTGTTGCTCCCACAGAACATAATACGAAGAGGAGAAGGACAATCCCACTTGCGGTCATCCCATCGTTTGCAGTATTGGCTGCTATCATCTACTTTTTGTGTTGGAAGTATCCATGTGTTCCAGCTACCCCCTGAGGAAGCTGGGGTGTCCCTGTATACACCATCAACACCACTAAACTGGGAGCTTTTCCAGTCTGGACCGACAGTCCACCCGTCTTGCTGTGCAGTGGGCACCATGATTGAAGCTGACTTTTTGGCTACAAAAATATTGTCTAAATATAAGAGCCATGTGTGTTCTTCTTCCAAAATAAAACGAAACTAAACTAAACGAATTTTTTGCTGGTGCACATGTCTAGTGTAGATCCATTTGTAGCACAGTGAATATATATCTTAGCAGCAGATGAACCAGAAGCGGCACAAATACTCAGCAGGAGAGACGCCAGACTTGCCCCTGAGGTCCACTCTGTTCCAGGCACCTCCAGCAGCCATCAGCTTCCCTGGTTCTCCACCTCTGGTAACAGCAGAGGCCTCCACTAAACTTGAGACCTGGCAGCACCTTTCCCATACTCCAGCATTCCCAACCCCAGGTCCCTTGATTGCACATTAGACTTGTGCGCCGTCAAAAAATGTGTTCCGTTTCGGAACATCCGTTATTTCGTATTTTGTCATTCGTGTCCGAAACTCAATTCGGTTTCGTACGAAATAACGAATTTTCGTTAGTTTCGGCACATTTTCGTAACTTTACGAACATTCGTTATGATGAAGTTAAAAAGCAAAAATACCTTTGTTAGTATCGGAGTCGATGTGGTAGTTGTTTTTTTATCCGAAATACGAATTCCGTTAACGGATTCCGTATCCGAATTTCGTATTTCGGATAGAAAAAAACAACTACCATCAACTCCAATATAAATGTACTTTGCTTTTTAACTTCAATATAACGAATGTTCGTAACGGAACAAAAATACGTCAACGGAATTTCGTATTTCCTGCCTGTGTATTGTAATGCAACTCTCAGCAGCAGCGCATCCGTATTTCGGATTAAAAAAAAAATCTTGTCATGTTGTTCAACCTCATTTACAGGGGTAATATTAGTTCCTGTTTCAAAGAAATTCGGATCTGAAATTCGTTAATGGAATTTCGTATTTCGTATATAATTCGGAAACTGCAATTGGGATTTCGGATGCTTCCGAATTTACGAATTTCAGGAAAATTCGTACGAATTTCGATTCGTAACGAAACGAATCGCACATGTCTATTGCACATGCGTTCGGCTCGGCTGAGTTGAACACACAGCCGAAGCGAGGAGAACTGACTGCCGAAGCAGACTGCTCCCCCCGTAAATGTAAACAAATATTTTTTTAAAACTGCGTGGTATGGATCGGGAGGGGGACCCCACGCCGTTTTTTTATTTTCTTTCTTTTGTTAAAAATTTGTCATCCTTCTCACTCCCTCCGATATAGCGAGCAGAATAAGTGAGCCAAATTTGGCTATTCGCTTACTGCTGTTCCGCCCCTATGAGAATAGGGGCGAATGGAAGCGAGCTAACTGACCTGTGTTTGGTTCAGCTGATCCAGATGTTGGATCGGCTGACTTGAACAGGTTCTTTGCTCAGCATGTTCAGCTGAACCGAAGGGATTCAAAGTCCGCTGATGTACGGCTGAAATCAGCCCTACTTGGCTGAAGTGAATAGCCGAACGGGGTTCGGGTCCCTTCACTTCGGCTCCTTTATTCCCTTGTATGCCTTCGGCAGCTGAGTAAATAACCCCCTTACTGTTCTTCAGGTCCTGACTCGTGAACAGTTGTTTTGTACAGCTGCAATACATGGGTTCCTCCACTAGATGAAGCTCTTGGCATTAGCCAGATCCTCCCTTTTGCTCTCACAGCAGAGTACGTGGAAATGACAGAAAAGCTAACCGGCTGCTACAAGGCAACAACCACTCTTCAATTACATACTAATAGAATATTATACCACAAAACATAAAAAGGCAAAGTAAAAAATGTGAAGCATTTATATGAAAATAACATTATTACATTTAGGAGAAACAAAAACAAAAGCTGAATTATGAAAATGAAAAACGGTGCACAAGAATAAATGTTGCATTCTAAACAAGTTACTATGAAGGGATAATTAAGTATAATTTAGAAGAAATAAAGATCTGAAATTGGATAAGTGTCATTTTATTCCAAGCATCTGACTTTCCATCTATGAGTCCCATTGAGCTGAACTCCACAGAGCCTTTTTCAGCCTGAAGTTGCTGACCGCACAAAGCGATGGTGAAGGACTACAAAGAGAAATATAATGAGTTCTCTTAACGTCCGCAAATTTCCACACAGGTTTGTGATCATTGTGCACAAATTCTTAATACTGAGCACTTTGTATTCCAGGAGTTCTGGTGCTATCAGGCAAAGCTCAACCCAGTAGTGTAATTGGCAGCCTACAGTGGGCCCCAACCACCGACTCACTATCCAACTACTGTCCCACTATACAACTACTGTCCCACTATCCAACTACTGTCCCACTAACCAAACGCCATCCCTCCATCCAACTACAGTCCCATTACCCAACTACTGTCCCCAGGGGCGTAACTAGAAATCACAGGGCCCCATAGCAAAATTTTGTATGGGGCCCCCGTGACTGCTACTCCCCCTGTGCCTGGGTCGCTATGGCGATTGTTACGCCACTGACTGTCCCTCTATCTAACTACTGTCCCACTATCCAACCACCAATCAACTATCCAAATACTGTCTCACTACCCAACTACTGTTCCTCTATCAAGCTACAGCCCCACTACCTAACCACTTTTCCTCTATCCAACTACAGTCCCAATATCCAACCACCATTTAACTAACCAACTTCAGTCTCACTATCCAACTACCGCTCCACTATCCAACTACAGTTTCACAACCAAACTACTGTCCCACAATGCAGCTATTGTTCCACTACCCAAACACCATTCCACTATCCACTGATACCAAAGCTCTCGGAATATGAGCAGGAGGGGCTCTGGTTGCACAGTGTGGTCAGGTTAAGAAGGCGCCAAACCACACTGGGAACAATTTACAGGTAACTAAGAGTACACACAAGAATCTACAGTTCAGAGTTTATGTTACTTTGCTCTTCCAACATCCCTGGCCAGGGTAGTATATGGGCCCCTGGAAGGCAGACTGAGGTGTAGGTGCATAGGTGTACGGGGCACTATGAGCACGTTCCCACGTCTGGTCCGGTGTGTCACTGTGAATGGGGAGGAATGCTGAAAGGTTATTTATAAACACTAATTAATGGCTAATGTTTCTCATGAATTATAATTAACTGACAGGATTAAGAAAAATTTATTCCATCTCAGAACAGAATCACTATCAGGGTTTTATATCTCTGTGGAACACGTACGTGAGTGTATGACGTTATATAATAAACATTTTATAACTCCTGATAATTAAACAGGATCTTCTTTTTCCCACACTTTGTCCTCACCGATCAGGTCACCCGGATACGATGAGTTATTCAGCAGTAGGTGTTCCTGTCATATTACACCGCCGCATCCTCACAGGACCAGAAGACTAAGCCATTGACCTGTGTCCTATAGAGGTCTCCAAAACCTCTGACAACAGGAATGCCGGAGGCCCATGACGCTGCAGCATTCAATCAGAGAGCATTATGGGAAATGATTTGGAGCCATAACAGGTGGAGAGATTATTTAGCCTCATGCGGAATATACACAGGGGTGTATCTACTGCAAGGCACACTAGGCATTTGCCTAGGGCGGCACTTTCCAGGGGGGCGCCAAAAAAATGCTGCCCCCAAACTAGTTAGATAAGAGAAAAAAAAATGATATTATAAATGATTCATAAATTACTGCCGTGTACCCCTGGACCTGGTGCTTCTTTGACTTGGGGACCAACGTCTCCACCTATGCCACCTACTCTTACATCTATGCCGGCTGCAGCTCCTTCCTCTCCCTGGTCAACATGCTGTGCAATGTATTGGTGTGTGTGACTTTCGTCCGGATGCACTGGCAGTTCGTGCGCCGGACCTTCCTGGGCAACCAGCACCCAAATCTCTGACTTCAGGCAGCGGAGGAGCTTCCGCAGGACCCTGGGGCTGAGATCCAGATGTCATCGTGCTCATCGGCACCTCTGTGGTGGTGAATCCGGGGAAGTGAAGCCTATAAGCTACGTGCAGGGTGATGTCTCTAGAGCGGGGCAAGCTACAGAGCCCAGCGGCCAAGGCAGAAGATGGGTAACTGCAGAATTGGAGTCCCCAGCATATGAAGGCAGAAGATCGCTGTTGCAGCTGCAGAACTAGAGACTAGCGCAGCATGGCAGGGCAGGAGAGAATAGTTATTGTAGCTGCAGAACTAGGGAGCCCATCATGCCAGGAATGGAGAAATCGGCTATTGCAAAGGTAGAACTAGAGCGTCCCGCTACGTTGATAGCGCAACCTGTCAGAATCTAGATACACCGTGCGCGCTGTATCCAGCGACTGGCAGGTTATGCAAAATGTCTTAAACAGGAAGGGGTGGGACTAATTTAGATTAGGGATGGGCGGGTGCTCGGGTTTAGTCTTGCCTAGGGCAGCACAAAACCAAAATACACCACTGAATATACATAAGACCCTTTCCGCCAACACCCCCAAGAACATTGGCCCTACAGTCACAGGACGAATCAGCAAAGTGGGCTCGATCGCAAATCCCCTGCCTCTTAGAAATAAAGCATCTGAGATGTTCCCAGAAGACCGACATGCCAGTGACAAGGTATATTTGGGAGCAGGGTGGCCGAGCCCTAGGCAGGGACACCTGAAAGGTAATCAGAAGCCCCGAGAGAGTCAGTTGTGTCCTCCTTGTGAACTTCAAGGCTTCATTTGTATTTCTAGTGAAGGAGATAAAGACCAGATTGCCACTTGAACGTTCTTTCAAAATAATTTTTGTCTTTTGGACTTTAATACCCTGTTTCCCCGAAAATAAGACCTAGTACTTTTTTGGGGGAATTGCTAAAATAGAAGACCTACCCCGAAAATAAGACCTAGTTGTGACCATTCCCAGGGCCGGTGGTGGCATAAGGGGGAACTTGAAGAGCCGCGGGAGAGAATCAGCGGTGCCAACGAAGCCGGCGCTATAGGAAGCGAGGCGGCAGCGGAGGGAGCAGAGCCGCATAAGCAGATGCCCCCTCTATAGCGCCGCCTCCTGTCACTGGCCGAGTGATACCAAATGCTCTCCGCCTGTGAGGAAGCGATAGTGAAAGTGCGTTTCGCTCATTCTGGCCAGCGATTGGTTACCAAATTGCTCTTGGAAAGGTACGGCACCCCTGATTGCCTTGATCACCCTATTCTTAACTTTGCCATTTTGGATGATTTAAATTTGGATTTGCGTTATCTTTGGATTATTATACATTAAAAAAATAAGACCTAGTGCGTTTTTTTGAGCCAAAAAAAATATAAGACAGTGTCTTATTTTCGGGGAAACACAGTACTTATGTGGGGCGCTCAAGTCCTTGTCTCCTTCTCCAGTAATAATCCAAAGGAGCCTTTGGGGGGGCTCTCTAGGGTTTGAGAGTGGCCAGCTAATTGTCCAAACACATCACCACCAATTCCACACCACAGACACAGTTCTGGGGAATCAGCACCACCCATCTACCCTTCATTTCCATTTCCGGCTGATGAGTTTACACAATGGTACACGTTGTTGCTCTGCCACATTCTCAAGAAAGATATCTGGGTAGGGCCTACATTGCAATCTCTTTAATTATACATGCAGTACAAGCCACCACCTCCTTTTCTCACCACATGTAAAGAGAACCTCAGGTCACAGCTCAGACAGCAGAGTATATAAAGGAGCCAGGGATAGAACTGGCAGAGCAGCAACCTAGCAGCAAATTGATTGTCTCCATCCAAAGTGATCAGAAGCTCCAAGGACAAGCGAGCTGAGATGTTTCCTTCCAGACATCCTCAGCCCTGCCACAAGCTCCTTAACTTCACTCCAAGTCATGACGTCCAGATGCTTCATCAACAGCTGGAAAATGACATGCTGCAGATGCAGAATGAGGCGGAGAGGAGGATGCAATGGATGCAGCAGGTCTGCCAAACGCCACCTCACCACCTGAACCTGAGCAGTGGGGCAATCCAGAGCGTACCTCCCGCCACCCCCAGTGAAATGCTTCTCAGCAGACGGCAGATGGGGAACTTTGAGCTCGCCCTAGACGTGGACCAGGTTCCTCCGGAAGAACTGACGGTGAGGACGGAAGGAAGGAGACTGATCGTGACCGGAAAACACTACAGGAAAAGGGAGACGGAGAACGGCAGCTTCGTCCATGAATACAGAGAGTGCCACAAAGAAGCCGACCTCCCGGAAGACGTGAATCCCGGGGACGTGACGTGCTCCGTGTCCAGGGATGGGCGGCTCCTCTTCCGGGCACCTCGCCTGGCACTGCCCGCTGCCGAACAAAGAATGATCCCAGTCAATAGAGACATGCACATCCCCATCATGGTGGAATCAAGACGGACATTACACTGAGACGAGGAGAACTCAACACCATCAAATCTCTAATCTAATCTGTGACTTACTTTGTCTGTCTGGTATAGTCCTGGCTCTTCTGATAAACTACGGAATGTTCTGTGATTTGTGTATCAATAAATCTTTCATGGTAACTGTCTGTGCTCCACACAAATGCAAACTGGTTCTAATTTTTTACAATGTTTATTTAATGATTTGTTAAATCTGTGTGATACCTTAGAATAATGATAGATAGATAGATAGATAGATAGATAGATAGATAGATAGATAGATAGATAGATAGATAGATAGATAGATAGAGAGAGAGAGAGAGAGAGAGACTGCTATGAAAATATTTGACATTTTGTAAAGCTTTTTGTGTATAATTTGAAGATCAGGTGTACATGAATCAATAATAATAGAGTTAATATAATAAATAGATACAAGCAGAGAGAGAATAGATAGATAGATAGATAGATAGATAGATAGATAGATAGATAGATAGATAGATAGATAGATAGATAGATAGATAACACATATGGAGAGATATCATATAGAATGATTACAGGCCACAGGTGGATATTGGTAGTAGGGATTAGGGCTGTTACTGATTAAAATTTTCGTGTTCGATTAATCTAAAAAAATTTTAATCGATTAATGATAACGCACATACAGATCCAACTGCATTGGCCTATACACATACAGCACAGCAATGAAGTAATAAAATGAACTAGGATCACACTAATCCAGCACGTTATTAGTCTCAGGTGCCCCGCTCAATATGGCCGCCGCTTGAGTGGGGCAACTCAGAATAATAACGTGCTGGATTAGTGTGATCCTAGTTCATTTTATGACTTCATTGCTGTGCTGTATGTGTATAGGCCAATGCCTTGGCTGGCGCTCGTGCAGAGAGATTAAAAAAAATTTTCATCGATCAAAAAGATTAACGATTAATCAAGAAATTAATCGTTAATTTGCACAGCCCTAGTAGGGATAGTAGGGATGCGCCGATACTGTTTTTTTGGTACCGAGTACGAGTACCGATATTTTTTTTTTCCGTACTCGACGATACCAAATACTGAGCCCCAGTTATCAGGAAGCCGGGCGGTGGATCATGATCCAACACCCGGCTTCTTGATTGCCTGGGAAGCTGGTGTCCAATGGAAAGAATACCTGCTTCATTTCCGGAGGCTGCCCAAGTGAAGCTGGCTTCCTAGCCAATCAGGAAGCTGGGAGGCAGGTTTTAACCCTGATTGGAAAGGAAGCCGGCTCCATGCAGCTATGGCACTGCCTGTCAGAGAGAGATCTCCACCTGCCCGGAAGTTCTGGCATTGGAGGTAAGTATCGGAGCATTTGGGTGAGTACGAGGACTAGCCCAAATATTTGGCATCGGCACCAATACTAGTATCAGTGCATCCCTAATAGATAGATAATACATAGATAGATAGATAGATAGATAGATAGATAGATAGATAGATAGATAGATAGATAGAGAGAGAGATAGATAGATAGATAGATAGATAGATAGATAGAGAGAGAGAGAGAGAGAGAGAGAGAGAGAGATAGATAGATAGATAGATAGATAGATAGATAGATAGATAGAGAAATGTATTTCAATTTTCAAAGCAGTTTGCTGCATTCTAGGTGTGTAGGGACAATTCATGTCATATGATGGGGTAGGCAAACCTCGGCTCTCCAGCCGTTGTGGAACTACAAAGCACGATGGCATTTGTAGGTTGCCTACCCCTGATCTAAACAATGATTTGACGTGACCAGATGTATATCTGTAAAAAATAAGTCAAGGCAACTGGACTCGCTGTATGTTTCTTGAAGATGTTTCACTGGTCATCCGACCAGCTTTCTCACTTCAGAATGACTTGTTCAAAACATTCTCTGGGAATAAAAATGGTGAATGTCGCTCCAATCCACATAATCTGTTATCCACCTGCGGCCTGTAATCATTCTACATCATCTGTTAGTCACCACCAGGTGTTGAATGCATTTGCATAATTGGGGCTAGGAGGTGTTATTAACCTGCCCAGAGAGAGGTGTTCAAACAGCATTGTATGTGGCAGACAATAGATGTCTCACCCCCTCCCCCCCCATTAACCCCCCTTCCCTCCTCTATTCAAGCTTGGCTTCTCCATTGTTACATAAATGGCCTCTAAAAAAATGGAGAAGCCAAGCTTGAATACAGGTGGGGGAGGGGGTTAGGGGGGGTGAGACATCTATTGTCTGCCACATACAATGCTGTTTGAACACCTCTCTCTGGGCAGGTTAATAACACCTCCTAGCTCCAATTATGCAAATGCAATCAACACCTGGTGGTGACTAACAGATGATGTAGAATGATTACAGGCCGCAGGTGGATAACAGATTATGTGGATTGGCGTGACATTCACCATTTTTATTCCCAGAGTCATTCTGAATAGAAAAAGCTGGTCGGACGACCAGTGAAATGTCTTCAAGAAAAATACAGCGAGTCCAGTTGCCTTGACTTATTTTTTACAGATATACCATGTGACCTGGATGAATGAGAAACCTTCACAGACATGGCCAGATGTAATTCTATGGAAGATCTGCGGGGTGATGTGGTGGGCCATGGCAGTGTTGACGTGTCTTCTGTCCCAAGTTAATCACTGAGGCATAGAACATATGTATGGGTGCATATGTAAGTGTTACATGTGGGTGTCTTCTGAGCTATAGCGGCAGCCTCCAGGGACAGAGTGACGCACGCATTACCAGCCATTACCAGCAGAGGGCACCGGTATTGCACAGTGTACAAGCTGCTATTGCTGAACTATTATGTTGAAAATACTGGTTACCTGGCTGTTAAACTGACCCGAGGGAGCGCTGACTTTCCTGACTTTACTTGCTGCATACTCTTTCATGACAATGAGGTATTGAGGTCACAAACAGCCAGGAAATTTGCATTTTCAAAAGGGGGGTGCAATGGCAAATGCAAAGGTTTGGATTTCTCCTCACTTTCTGTCCCGGTGCCGATTGTCACCAGCACAAAGAGGGAAGATAAAATCTCCGCAATAGGGTACAAAAACAGCAATAAAAACCTGACAGGGATCCAACACTCCCCCCTGACAATTCAAAGCTAGAGCTCTCCAGTCAGCAGGGAGCATGAGTAGGGTTGCCACCTGTCCAGGATTGACCCGGAAAGTGCGGGTTTTAAATGCTGTGTCCGGGTTTTCATGGCAGCAGAAACCCGGACACAAGATGTCAGGCAGACAGGTATTAAGGTAAGATAGGGGCTACCGGCCTCCCAGTGAAAATAGTCTCAACTGTGATATTTACATATGAATAAGCCGCGACTCATTCTCCCAAAAAATGTCTGCGCGTCTCTGGAGCTTTGCTGATTACAGAGCTATAGGTCTGACTCAGGAGGGGGCATGCTGGACATCTGAAGAGAAACCACGGCTTCCAGGAGTAGAAAAACATGTCCCTGGGCAGCGTCCAACAGAGAAGGATCCTTGCTCTGGGTGTTAAAGCAGAGGTCTCTCTACAGAGATCCTGCACACAACCCCCTGCTAAGTCAGAGCTAGAGCTCTCCAATCAGCAGGGAGCATGAGCTTTACTGATTACATGGCTATAGGTCTGACTCAGAAGGGGGGCATGCTGGACCTCTGCAGAGAGACCCCTGCTTCCACGTAGAGAACAAGCTAAAGGTTCTATTGCTGGGTCAATTCACTCTCACGTGTACGGAGACGGTAGAATCTGGCATGCGGCACACATGTGTCCGTGTGTTAGGAGTTAATTGCACACACCAATAAAAATGCTGTCAACCTAAAACAACGCATGTCCCAGCACAGCGGCATAACCCGGCCAGTCCTCACACCTTGTGCTGGACCCGTCTATCTTTAAGGTGGCCATACACTTTACAACCATCGCAAGACCTTAGTCTTGCGATGGTTGTAAAGTCATTTAAAAAACGTACGATCTGCCCATCTGGGACAGGCAGAGCGTACTTGCGATCATTGCAAGCCCTCCCCACTGAGGGGCGGGCTTCCGATGACCGTAATGCTGAACGGGCAGTGTGAGCGTGCGCACACCGGCCCGTTCAGCATTTGTCTCCCGAGCACCGTTCAAACGTCTGGTTTTCTAGCGCGCTCCTTAGACAAAAGACGTGCGACCTACAGTAGAAACGGTCGCACATCTTCATTCACACTGCTCGATTCTCGTAAGATCGCGGGATTTCCCGCGATTCTCGTAAGAGAATCGTGCAGTGTATGGGCACCTTTACGCTGGGTGTCAGGTTCTCTATTTGCAGCTTCACAATATATATTTTTCTGTCGGTTGAACTCGATGGACTTCTTTTTTTTTTTTTCACTGTAACTTTGTAACTATGTTACTGATTAATTCACGTATCTCAAAGATCAATCTGAAGGTCATGTGACCCTAACCAACTTTTTTTTTGGTTTTGTGAATGAACTGAAGCCAAAGTAATAGAAGGGCCCCCCTGCCCTCCCACCCCCTCCTCCCTGTGTCCTCCTATCTCCCCTCCCTGGAAATGGGTTGGCTTTACTGTACCTCCTGTCAGAGTGACACAAATTCTTTCAGTCCATTGCCTGCGACGCGCACACATCGGGACCTGGACAGGGGGGGGCGAGCGAAGGCGGCCGACACATAATCCACTCATAAAGATCCAGCTGTGCTTCCAGCTCTTCCCAAGCGAGACCCCGCCATCCAACATGTCCGACAGCGCCAGCGAAGCATTAGCGCCGACCGTGGAGGAAGGGAGCGCGGCGCCGGCGGAGAATCCCTGCGCCGAACTCAAGGTCGCCATGGAGAAATGGTGAGTGGCCCCTGGCAGTTGCTGTAGAGCTTTGAGCTTGGAATCCACCATTGGGGTGCAGACGGGGTGCGCTGGTCATCCGTGCAACGCAGCATATTCAATTTAATAAAACACGAAGGGGAGGGGAGGGGGTGCGCTTTATAATATATTTATTATTTTGGCACACCACCCACACTGCAAAAAACTGCTGAAAAATATCCGTCTTCATTTTTTGCATGTGTAGACGCAGCCGAACATGGTGCATGGTTACATAACGAGCTCGTTGGTGTCCTGCGTTGGTTTAACCGTTTGTGTGGGGCTGACGTCTTCGGATTTTTTTTGTTTCCACGCATAAGTTACAAAAGCTGGTAAACTGATCAATGAATTGATTGATTCTGCAATCAATACAATGAAAGGGAAATTTGTGTTAGGGCCCATTTACACTAAGGCATGCCCTAAAACGTGCCGAGGTTCCCCATGATAAAAAATGGCGTCTGCTTCTGCATTTTGAGAAATGTCATTTATTTCTGCGTTTTAGTACATTGGGGGGCCTGTAGAAGGCAATTCCATCGCAGCAGAAAGCATATAACGTGCATTTTGATGCATCGGCAACAGGTATGAACGAGCCTTGATCAATGGCTGCCAACTTTGTCCACTCCAAATCCTGAGCATCGGGAGCACGCGTCAATAACGCATGAAGGACGCACACGTTGATGCACGGCAATGCTCCTGCCTAGTGCTACCAGAAAGATGTACAAGCATTTTTCATTGTTTGATCATTTTTCATTTATTTTTGGTTGTTCATTAATTTGTAGCAAATCACCACCAACAATACTTTGATGTAAACATTGCAAGCGGGGCCTAACCTGCAATCTCAAATCATATATCAGGTGATTTCAAATCAGATTGCAAGTGATCTCAAATCAGATCTCAGGCGATCTCAAATCAGATAGCAGATGATCTCACATCAGATCTCATGGGATCTCCAATCAGATCTTGGGATATCTCCAATCAAATCTCGTGTGATCTTGGAGATCACCCGATATCTGATTGGGGATCACCCAAGATCTGATTGGAGATCACTCACGATCTGATGCGAGATCATCTGCTATCTGATTTGAGATCTCAGGTGATCTCATATCAGATCTTGGGTGATCTCCAATCAGATAGCAGATTATCTCAAATCAGTTCAAGGACGATCTCAAATCAGATAACGGGTGATCTCCAATAGGATTGCAGGCGATTGGAGGGGCTGCCCAGCCCCGGAAACATACGTCTGTGCAGTCTGGAATTTATACATTGTATATTTCCATCAGTTACATTGTAACCTTCAATCTTCAATATGTTGACGCATTTTGTGCAGTAAAAATGCAAACGGCACCTAATGTTCGATCCCAAATCAGATAGCAGGTGATCTGAAATCAGATTGTGATGACGTGAGCTCTGATTGGAAGAGCTGCACGGCCCCGGGAATACACATCTGTACAATCTGGAATTGATACGTTGTATATTTGTGTCTATTACATTGTAACTTTCAATCTTAGTTATCATGAAGGGTGAAGCGCCGCTGTTAATCGACTTTCTGTGCGTTGTATTGATGTCGATGATCTCCTATGGATGACGCAGACCTCCGTAAGGGGAAACAGTGGAAATTTGTCCTCAAGTAATGGGTGAAGGTTAGTGATTGTCGCTTCGTCCTCTGTGGGGGGGATCCAGATGTTGCCGCTTCTGATGTAACAGATTAAAAGCTAATCTGAGTGAATGAGTGACCGCGGGCAGCATAAACTGCTGCGTGTGTGCGCCTCTATCCAGACGCCAGTCTCTGTGTTTGGTTGGAGAAGAGGCCATATTGTCCCTGACACACGTCTGTGAACTGCAGATGATTTTTCACTGTAATAAGAATCAGGCCGAGGACTTCTGACCATCTGGTTTCGGGCATTACACAGTATAGCAATTTAAAGGGCCACTGCACCCAAAGCTGGTGGTTGGAGCATTAAACCCCCTAAAGCGGACCTGGGCATTTTATGGCCCCGCGGGCTGTATCTGGCCCTTGGTCTGCAGCTGTCCGGCCCACAGACCTGCACTCCATTATGGCTGGCTGACAGTGGATACATCAGCCTCCAAACTGCTATGTTATGATCAAAGAGTTCGGCTCTTTCACATCTCAGAATGCTGGGAGTTCTGCTCTTTCCCATCTCAGAATGTTGGGAGTTCTGCTCTTTCACATCTCAGAATGCTGGGAGTTCTGCTCTTTCCCATCTCATAATGTTGGGAGTTCGGCTCTTTCCCATCTCATAATGTTGGGAGTTCTGCTCTTTCCCATCTCAGAATGTTGGGAGTTCGGCTCTTTCCCATCTCAGAATGTTGGGAGTTCTGCTCTTTCACATCTCAGAATGCTGGTAGTTCTGCTCTTTCCCGTCTCAGAATGTTGGGAGTTCTGCTTTTTCCCATCTCAGAATGTTGGGAGTTCTGCTCTTTCCCGTCTCAGAATGTTGGCAGTTCTGCTCTTTCCCGTCTCAGCATATTGGGAGTTCTGTTCTTTCCAATCTCAGAATGCTGGGAGTTCTGCTCTTTCCCATCTCAGCATATTGGGAGTTCTGCTCTTTCCAATCTCAGAATGCTGGGAGTTCTGCTCTTTCCCGTCTCAGCATATTGGGAGTTCTGCTCTTTCCAATCTCAGAATGCTGGGAGTTCTGATCTTTCCCATCTCTGAGAATTATGATAACTTTTAGATAACGTTTTAGTCTTATGGTCAAGTCAGAATTGCTCTTTGATGCTGCCCCAGCAGTAGCGGTGTTGTGCAGCAGGCAGCAGTTTCCGGGTGCCCCTAGTTTTGGAGTTGGGCTCTTGTAGGCAGATGTCTCGCAGTCCACAGAGACGGAGGAGAGTAATTCAAGCATGCTGGAAACACAGACACAGCACTTATATTTATGGAGCGGGGCCGGGGGGGGGCTGATATATGGTCTTAAAGGGCAGCAACATCAAGTGCTGATACTGGCCATTATGCCCTTGTAAGATCTTTGTCCTTGGCTTCATCCTTGTCCTCCATTCTATACACTGCATTACCGTGAAGAGGGTGACACCACCTTTCTGTGCTTACAATTCTGGGTCTCATCATCCTGTTTCCTGCCTCTCAACACCCCCAGTAGCCCATATAATGTATATATAACGCAGGAAGCCCAATGAGATTGAGAGGCATGGGCCGTATACAGCCTGTTGCTTTTTTTTATAGGGGTTTATGTGAATGTGACGAATATCCCAGGAAGTCTATATAGCCGGCGGAGCTTCTCTACAGCCTAGCACCCAGGACACTTGCCCCGGGTCCCCTCCCTAGCGCCCTCTCCGGCAGTGGTGGTCTATACAGTCAGTTGGATCTTGTATTAACCCTCTTGGGGTGCCATCCGACACTCTCTGCAAGGCTAACTCAGCATTCGTTTAGCAAGGCTGCTGACTCTACTGTCTGATATACTGAAAGTCCCTGGCAGGAGACTCCCAGACTCTGCATATGAAAACCGGCGTGCATATAAAAGTCATAAAAAGATCAGAATGACCTTTCCATGAAATGTTACCATAGCTTGCACTAAAAATATACAACGGCCCTGAATGTGAAAGGAGGACGTGGAGAGAACACGGGCTACAGGCTGAACTGCAGGGAACTCTGTGCTCAGAGACTCTTTCTGAAAATGCTAGGTGCCTGGCTGTCATGGTGGTCCAATGGCTTTAATACTTTGGGCTAGAGACCGATATTTACCTGATTTCACTGGTTGCACGCTCGCTTCATCTTTGGCCCCCGATCCGTCTTTGCTGGGAGTGGCAGCTTAAAAAAAAAGTGGTCCAAGGAAGAAGGACCGGTGACAGGGTCATGGGTGGCCAAGGCTCATTGATGGACGTGGGGAGGGGAGTCGGGCCCGTGTAGTCCGATCCAATAGAAGAGATACTGGAGATCAGATTGCTGATAAAGTGAATGTTGGTTCTGATGGAAAGGAGTCTAATCACTCAGAGCATCGCAGGTTGTTGTGTATGGGGCTGTGTCAATGCAGACTGGTGAGGGTGCCCATGCTGACCCGTGTCCACCACCAAAAGTTTCAACAATGGGCACATGAGCATCAGAACTGGACCACGGAGCAATGGAAGAAGGTGGCCGGGTCTGATGAATCATGTGTATGGCTGGGTGTGTGTCACTTACCTGGTAAGAGATGGCACCAGGATGCATTATGGGAAGAAGACAAGCCGGCGGGGGCAGTGTGATACTTTGGGCAATGTTCTGCTGGGAAACCTCGGGTCCTGCCATTCATGTGGATGTTACCTGGACTGGTACCACCGACCTAAACACTGTCACTGACCAAGTACCCCCCTTCATGGAGACGGTATTCCCTGATGGCAGTGGCCTCTTTCAGATGGATATTGCAAATGAGGTGTTGACTTGGCCTCCAAGGGGGACATTGTTATGGAAAGAGGAAGAGAGCACAGTGTCCTGGTATTCCCTCATAGCTCAGTGTACAGACAGGTGACACAGGAAGCTGAAGAGTAGCAGTAGTGAATGGTGGTGTCACCCTTCAGGCAGATGACACAGGACATATTTAACACGCATACAGTAACCTTCACCTTGACAGTCCTTGAGAAGTCTCTCTTGCGTTGACATTTTTCTGTGATGCGTTGGTTCTGCTTGATTAGAGCCGAGCTATGCTGTCCTTCAGTTGGCTGCTTTACTATATAGTAGGGATGGGCAACTCCCGCCCTCCAGCTGTGCTTTAGCTACAACTCTCAACACGCCTCTGCCTCTGGGATTCATGCCTGCAACTGTCAGTTTTGCAATGCCTCATTGGACTTGTAGTTCCACAACAGCGGGGGGGCCGGAGATGCCCACAACTGGTCTATAGCATTACCAGCAAAGTGATTATTCTATGGCAGCGATGGACCAGTAGGAGTAGGAATCAGTTTGAATGTAAACCTGAAAAAAATGGGGGTTGTACTCCTTGTGGGAGGTGATCTGGGATATCAGCATATGTGTAGTGTGTGGA